CTTGACGAAAAATTGCCACAAGACCGTAAGCAGTTCTTTCTGCTTGAGAACATATGCATTGTTTCATTAAAGTGCTTTTTTAAAAAAAAAAAAAAAAAAATATCTGAAAAAGCTTGTGGACTTGAGTGGTTTAACTTTAATCATCCCAGATGTTGGCGTTCATAGTGAGTTGCTTGTTTGGGTTAGGTACAAGCACTGTTTGGTCAGAGAATGCAATGTTTCCTGCAGCCTGGACAAATTTTTCTTGGAATAATAATAGCTTAGCCTACTTGGAATAAATAAAAAATTGATTTAAGGAATTAAGTACTGGAAGGACAGAGTTTTCTGCTTTGCAGAGCATTCTCTTCACAGTTGTGGTTATGGTTTGTGGAAAAGCTTGCCACCAGCCATGTTCAGAGCCCTGCAAGGCCTGTTGGCCCTGTATTAGTTCCTAATTAATGACCCACATTCTCACAACTGCACTGAGACCATCTGTGATGTGGATGTACCAGTGGAAAACAATGGAGTTATTTATTTCCAGATGTATCTGTCACATGAATAAAGAACCTGTTTGTGCCAGAGTGTGGTTGCTGTTGGCTGCAGCATGGAAATCTGTGTGGGTTTGTAGCCAAGAGAATATAATTTATAAGATTCAGAGCTCTGAGGAAAAATGGTCAGGGCGTCTTCAAATGGAACATGTTGGGTTTTTCTCAAGCACATTGTACGTACATAAAGCCCAGTTGACCAATTCTGGCTACGACAGCTGCATAGTTTGAAAAAAACAGTTCAAGGCCCCATAGTGGAACACTTGAAATGAAATGGAATATGGGCTGTGCTCTGACCTGCACTAATTAATCTATTTCGACGAAGCCAGCATATACCTCTGTTTTTCAGCTGAAGCCACTCAAAGCTGTATCTAGTAGCTCTGCCTCCTGCAGTGTAGTAGTGGCTATATTCTTCCTTTTACCATGAGCTAAAAATCATAGAATCAAAGAATGGTTTGGGTTGGAAGGGACCTAAAAGATCATCTAGTTCCAACCCCCACTGCCATCAGCAGGGACACCATCCACTAGACCAAGTTGCTCAAAGCCTCATCCAACCTGTCTTTGAAAACTTCTAAAAATGCTCAATAGGGTATCATCAAAGCTGTGATGCTTTGATTGTGAACTGCTTCTGTCTGCTTAACTAATTCCTCTGAGGTTACCTGTCAGTTGCCTTCCAGATAGGGTAAGTGTAATGTGCACCATGAGGACAGTGTCTTGTGAGGAAATGTCTCTGCAGCTAAGGTATTAGTGTAGCCTAATATGTTTTACATGCATTATTTTGTTTCTTACACTTTGAACTATTTTTTCTATCCTCATTAAAAGTATCATTAATTGTTTTAACACATTTTGAAGTTACGTAAATGCAAGAAAGATAAAATGTTTTACAGTGCTCAGACTCATTGCAAGCAGGTCTTTCAGCAAGCTTGGGCTGAACGTTTGTTGACCTTGAGCTGTTTTGTTGTTCCAAACGTTCAGTGACACCTATGTAACTCTGGTTTTGACTGTTGCCAGTGATAACTAGGTAAAATGTGGGGTTTTGTGTGTCTATTGAATAATCAAACCTCAAGAAATGTGAACTTCCATGAACCAAGTTATGTGGGGAGAAGCTGACATAGTACTATATATATTTTTTTTTTTAGCTCTGATCAAGCACTCTTGCTTGACTCTGGTGTAATCGATGGAAAACTAAATTGTATCTGCTTGTGAAACAGCAAGGTTATGTACAGGTGCTTGTGTTTGTGAGTGTGCATGCATGAACACTTACATATATAGACACTTTCTAGAAGCTGGGACACTCTTGCTGTGGTTCAGCCTGGAGCATGTTCCAGAGGGTTTGCCAGCTCTTGCATATGGGTTTGGGTGGAAATGTTTGTGCATTGTCCTGGTATTGTTATAAGTGCCAGAGTCATCCCATTGTTTGAGTGAGATCTTGGTCAGAGGCAATTCTGACTGCACAGAGTGATTTAGAGCATGTTGCAATTAATTATTGCTTTTTTCCCCACTATGTCTATTCAATGTTTTATTAATATTTAAAAAAGACTTTGCACAGCCTCATTAAGTGCCTTATTGGGCTATAATAGTGGTATTAGCAGTTCCAGTAGTAAGCATGACCATGTACCCTGTACCTGCAAAAGAGCTGCTGGAGTTATGATAAGCAAGGCAACCAAATCCTAGTACACGCATCAGAAACACATCTCAAATTCCACAAACTTCTGTTACTGATCAGTATCAGAAGCTGATTCACATGTGGTCTGTGCACCTCTTCAAATGCTTCCAGAAATGGACCTCTGCAGCTGTTACTTGCAGCTGTTTGTGTTTTAGCCCTAATTTCATAGTTCTGTACATGCTGGAGAAACCCAGATGAGTTACTGACTACAACCAGGCTCAACAGCCAGAGGGAAGGACACTTATAGTATGCTATGGTGTAAATAAGCCCACAAATCCAAACTTAGAGGAGTCATTCTGTTGCTGGAAGTTTATTTGTGATTTTTCTTGCCAGAAGAATTGTGCGCTGCCTGGGGCTGACTCTTCAGGAGTCATGTAGTTGTAACTTGCTAGTTCTTGTTGGGTTATCTCCATGTTTCCATAGCCCCACCTCCTCTTTGGCTGTTTGGGAAAGGGGGCTGAATTGTCCAGCTTTTCCCTCTTATTTGTTTCTCTATCTCCCTTTTCCCTCTTCACCCCACAATATTCCTGAAGGAAACAACTGGTTGCTGCTTTGCACTGTTGAAAGCTTTTATTGGTTTCTTGCCTGATATTGTCCTAGAAAGGGATCATACCTCGAAAGCAAAATGCAGTTAGTGAAACTAATAGAGCACAGTATCAGTACATGCTCATGCTTCTCTAGGGAGAAAAACTTTAAAGTTACAAAGTATGGGGAAAATTGAGTAGGGATGAGATCATTTAATGTTGGTTGGGGGGATATAAAGCTGATGGACAGTATGCATAGGTCTAATAACCATTCAGCATTTGTACTGCTGGTGGTTCAGTACTGGCACGGAAGGAAAACCATCAGGCAACCAATAGCAAATGTCAGAGCACTCTTTTGAGGTTTACTCCATGTCTGAATCATGGGCAAAGCTGATTGTGTTGCGATCACAGCATGTCCGTACATTTTCTGTGTCAACGCTCTGCCCTTTTGGCAGCACCTTTGATACTCCTAGTGATTTCTGATATGACGACTCAATAACACCAACATCGCTTAAATACCTTCTCAAACCTGTGCTGGTAACAGACTTGTACTGGGGATTGTTTGTAACCAGGGATCTGCCCACACCCATGGAGTGTGCATGAATGGAAACTCTTGTACTGGGAGGTACGTGGTCCTCCTCATTCTCTGGCATCATTTCCTTCTTCTTCATCAGTTGATGGATGTCAAAAATCATGGCTTAAATGTGAGACAAGTAGGTAGGCGAAAAGAAACAAATGTTTTTTTTCCTGTTGTGTGCCAAGCATAGGTGAGAACGCTGTCTTGGAGGTTGCTAGCAAACAGAGATGGGAATCAGAAATGAGGGCATTTTCTTTGCAGGACCTCAGCCTGGCTGTACAGGGTGTTGAGTAGTGAGGGGTTTCAGGACCTTCAAACTCTTAATTCTTCTTGTGAATGGAGTGGGGTTTCCATTTATGCCTATCTGGGATCCAGGACAACTTTTGTGCAGGTGCTTACAGGAAAAAAACATTCAGTCTCCAAACAGGTAACTTTGCCATCACACGCACACCTTGTAACATATGTCTTTCTTCCCTCTACTTGTGCAGTTTTTTATCAGGATGGGTGAGGGGGAGATAAGAACTCATAAATCCACATAGAAGTAGCTCAGACACACAAACTGTGGGTGGGAGCATAAGCATGGTGCTGCCTGTCCTGACATCCCTATGTTTTCATGGGAGTCCAGCTCTGTAGGTAGCGAGAACTTGTCAGAAGGCTGAATGTCACAGGCAGCTCAGAGAATTCACCTTGAAATGATTCATTTTGTTAATTGATGAATGGGGAAACCTTGCTACCTGGAGAGAGGCTCATCAATTCTAAGACAGAAACTGAGAAATCCATATAAATAAGGCTTCTTTTTTCTTTTTTTCTTTTCTTTTCTTTTTTTTCTTCTTTATTATTCCCACTAACTTGAAGTGCCAAATAGATACTTTCCACTAAGCTCATAGTAGTACTTGACTTGGAAGCATAGGATCATCTCCTAAGATTCATTGTGTATCAGCAAGGACTGAAATATCTTGCCTGGAAAAAAAATAATCTAGCTTTTAAAGCAGCACTATTCTGTAGGTTGTGCTGATTATTGCTTTGTGCGGTATGACTGTGATTTTTGGCACACAGTGTCACATACCAAATTCCCAAAATAAAATGCTACATGATATTCTAAGAGCTCTTAGGAAGCTTTAAAAAAGGATTTGTCCTCTGAGTGAGTATCTCTTCTGGTGAAGCCTAATGATGCAGCAGGAACGGTTTAAGAAGAGGAAACTTTAGTCAGCAGATGATTAGTCTTTTTAAATAAGCACAAGGGAAAAAACCAAAACCTTCCGTAAGTTTGTAAAAGTTGTCAGCAATCCTGCTTTGATTGTAAAGGGTTTACAGCTATATGTTTGAATAGCTAAAACATCTGTTCAGCAATATTGTGAAATCCTTGTGTTGGGAACCCCTGATAAGGGGGACTGCTGAGCGATTGGCTCATAGAGGCTCTCCAGGCAGCAAGGGCTGTGCATGCAGTGGTCACCGCTTGCTTTTCCTCCTCCTGGTCAGACAAAAACGTAGGAGACAGCTACTATTTTATGCATGATTTTCCTTTGAGAGGGGGAGAGCAGGAAGTGCCTAGGAAATAGTTCATGACAGGAACCTGGAGTTGTAAATAGGAGAGAGGAGGAGGAGGAGACCTCATGGGTGCAGTTATGTGAACAGTTGAAATACTGATACCACGGCAGCAGAGGAAAACCCAGACTTCTGCAAGAGGAAACACATCCCAAGCCATCCCGATGGAAGGAGAGACGGCACCCGAGGCCAGGAGAACAGCCAACAAAGCCACACGGATTGCCCTCGGTGTCTTTGTGAGTGGCACCGTTGTGCTTGGCACTGCGCTTTTCTTGGGTAAGTGAAAGGGTCGAGGCTAAGCTGAATGTAACCCTCCCCAGCCTGCCTGCTCGGTGCCAGTGTTTGTACCCTATGACGTGTTTTGGTGAATATCTCGGTCTCCTTTTCCCCCCATTTGATATTTATCCTGAAATGGAAATGTGTCAGGAAAGGGATCGTTGTGACAACATTAGAGCTAGAAGATGTGATGTGAGCTCATGTAACTTTTTGAATGCTGTATTTAAATTTGGATGCCCAGTTGAATGTGTTCTAGCCAGAATTGGGTTCTTTGGCAGAATGGGAAGAAACGGGTGAGATTATGCACGTCGGTAATGCTGATTGCAAACTCGCAGATTGTGACCAATGTGGGCTAATATTCTCTGTTTCCTGAATATGAATCTGTAGTGCACACATTTTATGGAATATTTTGGGTTTTCCTTCATTTGGTTTTCATTTAGGGCTTGACTAAAATTCCTGTAGAATGCTTCAATAATGCATACGCTTGCACATTTTTTAGATGTTTTTGTTATTCTACCATGAATTGCAAAGTTGTCTTTGCAAAAATCATAAAAAGTGCATCTGGGATGAAATTAAAATGTTTTGATCAGATTTATAAGCTGTAACTAGACATAATAGAGAGAATTATTTTTCCCTCTCTGGGATTTGGAATTATCTGTTGATTGGTTTTCTTGGAATATCACATGGAAGCATATGCCTACACCTAAAAAATGATGTGAAGAAGTATAAACGTACCCAGAAATACCAGGCAGAGAAGAAAAAGCAGTGTTATATCCTGTAAGAATTTGCAAAGACAGATCCTTTTTTGGAACAATTCAGTCCAACTTTTCACTTTTTTAGACCAACACATATTTCCCTGGACTGGAGAAAACTTAGTCTCTAAACGTATCTTTTGCTTCAGTCTGACCACTTATGATCTTGTGGTCTTGTTTGAAAGGTCTACTTCATTTATAATCACAACAGAGGAAATTATGATGGGTTTTCTATAGAATATTTAAAGCACCAGATTCACAATCGGTGTTTTTCTGCTCTAGAGCAAGTTCTACAAACATTTGCAGCAAGTAACTTCTGCATATGTGAGTAATCCCACTCAATTCCATAAAACTCCTTATAAACATGAGCAGGATCAAATATTTAACTTGTTAGTGCAAAATATTTTTTCTAGATGAAAAATAAAGTTTTTCACTTAAAGAATACAACTTCAAATACCAGGAAGTAATGGAGAGACCTTATTTTTTTTTTTTTTTCAGCACTAGATTTCTTGTTTATTGATTGTAAAAGGCAATGAACATTTACCACCTTAGCTTGTCAGAGACAGAAGTGCTTTATCCATAGACCAGATGTGGAAATTCAAGCAAATGTATTAATTCTTAGAGCTAGTTTTCTGTGTGCTGGAGCATATTCTGTAGCCAGGAATTCAGTGTTAAAATTTTCATTGGCATAACTGCTAAGAAAATGAAAATGCTGGCCTTGGCTCAATAAAAATGTTTTTAGGAACTTTGTGGAAATTGAGGTTTTCAACCAAAAGAATAAAGGAAAAAAGGAAAATTGTTTTAACATTTTGTCAATGCAGTGTTTCCATGTTTCATAGTGACACCATGTTTTGTTTGTAAGTTTGAGTTTAACTCTCTTTTTTAGTTTTGTTAAACTGTAGAAAAGGAAAACACTATTTCTCATCATGTGAAACATTTCAGGCACATCAAGGTGACCTTTTTTCCTCTAATTTAATCTGCAAAACTTGCTGTTTCTTGTAGACCTCAAACAATTCCCCTACAATTTTCCAGGCTGAGGAGTTAAACGTAGCCTTCTGCTTCTCTTGTTTCTTCTTCTCAGAGTTCCTACAACTCTAAGAGGAATCTGGGAGAATCATGTATTTTTATTTACTGTTACTTGCTCATACAAGCTGTAGCCATACTGTGACTTCAGCGAGGAGCTACCAGGGGAGTCACTTGGGCTCACGGGCCCTGCCTGCGACTCTCCAGACAGTGCTGTGGGCTGTGGCAGGAGAGGAGCCACCTCCTCCTTGGGAACTGAGGCCAGAGCAAAAGAAAGCAGATCACTCTCCAGTCCTCTTGGGCAAAAGGCCAGGCAGCTTTGAACCTCAATTCAGTGGCCTCTCATCCTGACTTGGAAGTCCTTTTGACTTTGCAGGTTATAGGAACACACACATTATTTGCAACTGCATATTTGTATGCCTTTTTCCCTTTCAAATTTTTGAGGGGAGATTAATTATTGTGATATTTGCTTAGGAATCTGGAAATAGGCTTAAAGAGGAAGAAGCTGGGACACTGAGTGTTATAACCATAGGTAATAATGTAATGGTTAGCTCTTTTAACAACCACAATGACAAAAAGGCAAGAGGGAAAAAAAAAACAAACAACAAAACAAAAACGGGTGGAGTATTTTAATCAAAATTAACTCTTAATTAAAAGGGAACCAAAGTTACTGCCAAATATTTTTTTTTCATTTGCTTTAATGATGAAGTTGTAAATAGAACAAAACTGGTTGAAATGGTCTTTTGCTTTTGGTTAGAAGTGTCAAAACGATGAAGGCTACTTCAGATTCTTTACTGATTCTTTTTCATTCTCTCTCATTTTCAATCAAGTGCAAAAGAGTTAAATGGTGTCTGGGATTTTGTCTCCTTTCTCTGCTTTAAGAAAAAAAAAATCTAGCAAACATTAAAAACCTGGACGAGTTCTAAAAGGCTAACTTTAAAGCAGGGAAAAGGTGAGTTGGAAAGAGAGCAACACTTAATAGGCACATTATCCATTATTTGTATTTTATGTGGCTCAAAGTCATAATTTGGAGACCTCTACTTCTCTATTTTCTACTGTTCTGCAATATTTTATTTATGCCACAAAATCTCCTGTGTTTCTTGGCTAATTTGCAAGGGTTATTGAGGGGTTGTGTTTCACTAAGTCAATGCAAGCTTTGGTAAAGTTGTCCAGAAATAGTTTTACATCCTCAGTTTCTAAGAAAATTTGATTGAAATACAGCCATTTCTGTCATTAATTGTCACTAAAGCTATGAGGTTAGAAGAGATGAAACAGCTTTATGTTCAATTCCAGCTTTAGGTTTTTAGGTCATAACTTTCCTGTGCTGAAATAACATTTCACGTTTTCCTGTCCCTTTTGAACAATATGTAGCTACAGGCGAAATTACTTAACGACTATCAGCACTGGTAAAGGTATGATACCTTAATGTATTTAACTGTTGAGTTTTTTGTTTGTTTTTTTGTTTATTTATTTATTTATTCTTGCTACAGACTGAGTTATTAAGATAATGGATAGAATGAGAAATTTGTCTACTGAGCACATCTACTGAGTTTTATTTCATTTACTCAGGACTCTCCCACCCTCATCCCAAGTATCAATTATCTGTATATTTGCTGCCTGAAAACAGTGTCTGAAATTAGCAATTTTTATGCTTAAGCTTCAGTGGCAGCTGTAATACACGTTTTTTGAAAGATGAGCAAAATTAACTGACAATTTAATAGTCCTTGTCAGCAAGGTTTTGAGGAAGCAAATACCATTACAATACTTCTGGGAGTCAGTTCAGACAGAAATTGGACTGTGCCTTATAAACCACAGCCATCCCTGTGCCCACTGCTGTCTGGTTTATTCCAAGCTGGAATAAGGGGACCCTGAAAGCGCCCCGTTGATGGTGGGTCATGCTGGTGGGGCCAGGGAGTGCTGTGCTGCTGCGGGAAGAGGTGCAGAAGTGTGAGCCCCACAGCTCACGAGGTAGCTGTGGAAACCTGGCAGAAGATGGCTTGATAGCTCCATGTTGCATCTCCAGCTGTGAAAGGTGCATCTCTGGAGGATGATAACAGCTATGATTATTGTTTGTATTGTGATGGGCATCACCATCCACGAGTAAGGCTGAGGTATTTTTACACCAGGCACCGTGCAGACGTACAATGAGACAACCCTTGCTCCACACTGCTTATGAGCAAAGAGAGAGGAAGGAGAAAGCGGGTGTAGGAGCGGAAAATAAGTTGTTATGAGCTGCAGTATTTACTTAATGTTACATTCTAACTGTTTTAAATTAATTCAGTCAGCTATGCATTAGGGCTAGAGCTTGCACTGACATTTGAATTATCAAGTACACAACATTTGGCTGCAATGGTCAAAATTCATTACAAATGATCTCATTATGATTTTTCCATTTTGCAGTTAGCCAAGGTCTTATAAAGTTTCATCCAAAACAACAGTACTGTTTGACCTCAGAATGCATTGAAGCTGGTAAGTAACAATTTTATTTTCTATTATATCATGATTATAGTATGTTAATGAGTTGTTTATACTGTTTAAATTTTTTCCACGATACATTTTACTCAGAAAGCTTCATTAATAGTAAAGAAAAAAACCCTTCACCCACCTTTTTTAAAAGACACTGCTTAAGTTGCTGCAAATCTGTTTATTTTCTGTGATGAAAATTCATGTTTTAAATTGTTTTTACTCTATTCTACCCAGGTTAAGTCAAAGTTTCCCACAGGGTCTATTTATTTTTAATAGGAAACCAAATTTTGGGCAACTTGATCTTCAGGTGTGTTTTGTTGATTCCTTCCCAGTAGTCAGAGGATTAGCAAGTGAGTTGTTAAGCACAGAGATGCTTTGGGGCTAGATCTTGCACAGCCTTGCAGAACTGTAATGTGGTGACTATGACTCTAAATCTGCAGCTATTTCCATATTGGCAAGCTCTTTTCCCCACCCAGAGATACATGTGGTAACCATTATAGAACTGGGATGTTCATTAGTATTAAATGTGAGCTGAAGGGACTGGGCTTGGTAGGACCTGGGAGACGTATTCTGCACTGGCCAGTTTTGCCAGAGTTTTGCTTACATTAAATCAAGGAGAACTTTATCATTGAGTGTAATGAGAGCACATATCAAACAATAGTTACCACATCTAGATATCGGCCCCCAGAGTTATTTTATTGAAAACAAAGTGGGCATTCTGTGAACTTATAAGTGTATTTATTTCCATTCTGAACTGTGAGGTGTTTGGTGCGTGTTTAAAATTCTGACAAATTCTATGGGGCTCCATAAATTGAAAAATTTGCAGATCTCAACATTACCAGGATGTTTCTTGTCATTCTTCTTCTGCTCTGCACTACACTGACAGTGCTCTTGGACACTCTAGACACCACCCTCTAGAGCTTTTTCTTGAATAAATGCAAATATTAAAGTGGGGTGACTAATCAAAATACCACCACCAGCACCCCAAAAACCTGAACAAAAAAAAAATGTCACTTAGGAAGTTTGAATCTGAATTTACTTCTTCTCACATGCACATAAAATATCAAGGTTTTTTTTATTTTTTTTTTTATTTTTTTTTTTTTTTCAAGCTCAGCAGAAGCTGACTTGGACATCTACGTGACCTGACTGATTTAGCTCAGAGTAGACTGTGTAGTGACTACCTAGCGTCTTGAGACCTCAGGCCTGCCTTGCTGTACAGCTTTTCCAGGAGTTATAGAAAATTACCAAGGACTAAAATGTCTTCAATGTAGTCAGTTTGAGAGTTTCTAATGTGAAAGAGAATTACAGTTGAGACATAAAAATATCATAGTGAGAGTTACTGTAGGTGGATGAAGAGTTACGGGATGCTAGAAATGGCACCATATAATCTGTGAAAGTTATAAGATTTCCTGCTAGGATTTTTAATCAGTTATTTGGATAAGCCTCAAAACACATAGTTGTTTAGACAAAAAAACGTCCAGTATCCATATATTCTGTGTTACTTGACCCATGTAGATTTATGCCACAAAAACTATGGTGCATGACCATTTGATTAGATATTTAAAAGTTATTAAGTCTATGGCTTGTCAAACTGATTTCTCTCTTACCAGTCTCACTTGTGATAGCCAGAAAAAAATCACAAAATGGAGCTGAAAATACTACAATTATCTTTTCCAATGAACTGTAGATCAGAACTTGATTTGTTTTCTTGTGCAGCTATTCAGCTAAAGGTAAACAGTGCATAATTTCTGGAATGCTAATTACAATCTACTTGATATGTATTGCTGCTGAATTCCTCAGGCAATTACATCATGACAACAGTGGATAGCCTGTCTTCAGGTGTCTGGCTCCAGCAGTTAATATTCCTGTAGTGCTAGGTTCAGTGGTCTTTGCTGTATGACACTTAAGAACATTCATTGCAGATATTTTGCTTTTTTTTTTTTTTTTTTTTTTTTCTCATATAGGTACTGTTAGATGATAGAGAAGCTGGGTGGTATTTTTGCTGATCTTTTAAAAAAATGACAGAGATAGGGGCATACATCAGTCCTGTAACAGCAAGGCTTAGCTTGCAGGTGATAAATGTTAATAGTAATTTCTGGACTGTGACCTCATGTAATCCTCTGTTTAGGAAAAAGGGTTCCACAAAATCTATGTGGTATCTTTTTTACAGCCGCTGGCATCCTAAGCAAGATAAATCAATCTGTAGATCCGTGTGAGAACTTTTATCGATTTGCATGTGATGGCTGGATATATAATCACCCTATTCCTGAAGACATGTCAAACTATGGTGTTTATCCTTGGCTGCGGCAAAATGTAGACCTCAAACTAAAGGGTAAGTATGTCATTCATGAAAGTCTTTGGTTGCCTTGTCACTGTAGCTTGCTAATTGGCTAATTTTGAAATGAATGAAGACTCCATGCTTTTTTCCGATCATTGGATAATACCCAACAGCCCAACTTGACTTTTTGTTGTTTATTATTGAATATAATTGAGAGATAATAAATCATAACAGAAACAGAATTTGGGAGGAAGAATAAAACTGCTGGAAACTCTACCAGTTAAGAATGGAGGGACAAAAAGGTACACCTTATCCCAAAGGAAAAGGTGAGGGGATCTGAACCCTTTCCCCTTCACAGTAGATGGGTATACTAGAGTGCACGAGGACAGCACGCACATTTAAGAATGTCTCAAATCCAGACAAACACCAGCCTGGGTCAGCACTCTGTCTCTAACGGTGGCCAATAGCAGGAAAAGAATATAATAAGGCAAAACCAGAGGGATATTTTTCAACATGAGCACCTAGGTCTGGGCAGGAGACAAATTACAGACTTCCGGAGGTGGAGGTTTTTTGGGTATTGTGTTTCCTTCACATTGCTGTTCAAACTGCCATTGAAGTACCTGAGCTATCATCAGTGAAACTGAAGGCTGCTTAAGAATGTGTGTCTGGAGGGAAAAATAGCCACGAGGTGGAAATGTGTAGGAAGAGAGGTATTTTAATCTGTGTGTGACTTGACTTTGTGCTATACTCTGCAGCAAGGCCAGCTCATCAGGAAGCTGTGCAGACCAGCTGGGGGGAAAGGGTGATGATTATTGTTAGGTAGGAAAACTCTGCCAGATTATAAGAATCTTTGCAAAAAAACGAGTCATGCAAAAGAAGAGAGATGTGCAAGATTTATCATTGTTAGTGGTGCTTGTGCTTGAGCATTACACACCTTGAGCGTGTTATTGACCTATTACTTGATGTAAGAACCTACTTTGAGCTCTCCACAGAACAGAGGTCAGTTTTAGGATGTTGTGCTTAAATATAGCATTTATTTTTCTCTTGTATTTTGTTACATAAGTGTGTAGGCATCAAAGCTCTTCTCTGCTTGCTTTATTCAGTCATATTGTATTCAATTTTTGTATTGTTAAGTATTTTTAAAGCTGCATTCAGTTTCAGAATATGAATTTGGAATTTCAGCATAGGATACAATCTGATGACTGCTGTTTTAAGTCTGCTGAAGATGTCATAACCAAAGGAAAAAAAATATTGCCAGAACCTGTTTTAAGTTATGCTTTCCATTCTAATTGTTCTGCTGCCAGAATCAGGCTGTATTAGATAACTGAACATCCTGCATGAACCGCAGCCACAAAGAAGCCAGTCCTAACTGAATATAGAGTAGCAAGCTGTGACTCCCATCCTTAATTTCCTCCTTTTGCAGAGCCTAATCAAGGACATAATGCTAAGTCACATTTTTATATGATTTTCTTACTGCAGTCCCTTTAGAAGTTGCTAATCCCTAGCTAGGAAAATACAAGACAAAGAAGGAAACAGCTAAATGAGAAGTATTTGATTAATGGAAACTCCATATCAAAAAACAGATGTAATAAAGTGCCTGATAACTACTTTAATAGGAGACCTAAAGTGCTCCTTGGCACAACTTAATGGAAACTCCATATCAAAAAATAGATGTAATAAAGTGCCTGATAACTAATAGGAGACCTAAAGTGCTCCTTGGCACAATACAGGGACAAAGATGTGAAATGTTAGGTGGTGCAAAGGAGCTGATTTAATATAACATTTTTCATCTCCTCCTTAACTTTTTACTTAAATTCTTCAAAATATATTCTTGTTAATTAAAAAAAAAATAAAAGAAATAAAAGTGCTGAATCTCAGTGTCGGTATCTGAATAACAAGGCGTAACTTCAGTCTCTACGTATGTTTGTGTTTTAACTTGAGTTACTTCGATAAACTAGTTTGACACTCAGAGTTATTAATTTGTGGATGACCACAATATTGCTATTAAAAGTTTTAGCAAGATGGAGAATTCTTGCATAGAGGAGCATACATATGGCTGACCAGACTTTTGAAGTCAATTTAATTGCTCCTTCCTAAAGAAGTCTTAGTGGAACTTTGTACTTCATTGTAAATGTCCCTGTTTGACACTCGATAGATTAAAAAAGCCCCAGTCTTTCAAGAGTTGATTATTACGCAAGTTCTATGTTCTGAAATATTTATCATATTAAAGAAAATTATTAATCTTAAAGTGATGACATGTCTTGGCCAGAAAACTACATTTTTCATATTTGATATTCTTTGATGGTGTGATATAGATTGAAGTATTTACTCAGGCAATATATATAAAAAATGATATTACTTAAAATAAATTATTTGAACATCTAATCTGTTTTTTGGTCCCTGAATGTTCCTGAGCCTTAGGCAAGAAGATAGTTTGGGTATTTGTGCAAAGACCTGTGTATAACCTTGGTTAAACAAGGATATCTTCAATCTTCCGGAAGCTCCATTTTTTGTTCAGGGACAATTGCTGCGGAAGATGATCTTCCAGTTGATAATGTGTAGTAAGTGTAAGAATTAGTTTTGCCTTACAAAAAAATGGTAAGTGTAGTTCGATAAGGTACTGAGTCCTCCATCAAGTATTGCTGGGTTTGAGAGCAAAGCTTTTTTTCTCCCCTTTTTTTTTTTTTTTTTTTTTTTTTGATGTTGCAGACACATGAGAGCATATGACTTTGTAGGTGTTGGCTTCAAGAAAGGGTAGAACATTTTCTGTATCAGTGAAGGTTTCTGGTGCTTTAATGGGGAATTCCAAAGAGAAATGACAATGAGTCAGTGGAAAATATTCAGAACTTACTGGGTGGTAGATTTTTTGAATGCATATCTCTGGTGGATTGAAGGAGCAGGACAAGGAATGTTAATTTCAGGGTGGTTCTAGATTTGCAAAACTTAATGTCATAGTTGGAAAACCTATATTTTTTTGTAAGATTTGGGGTTATAATGGAGTAGGAATATACACTCTCTCACACACTCACACATACATATATATATATATACACACACACACACATAATGTTCCCATGGCTTTCTCTAGCTGTCTTAAGATGGATCCAAACTAAAATTATATCATCATTTCCCCTTTAATTTATTTTCCATCCTTTGTTTGAGGGTTACTTGAATCCACAAACCACATGTGTAACTCACTTTGATCTTCTGGCTATATAAAATGGATAAAATCCTAGCCTGGTGAAAGCAGTGGTAGGTCTTTCCTTGGATGTCAGCAAAGCAGGATTTCATGCATTGTGGAAGAAAGTACAGAAGACAATTGTAGATAGACAAAGATATATTAAAAGCAGAGACTTGTGGTTTTGGTTATGACCCAGATCCAGGTAATGGACATCTAATATTTAAGTTAAAATTTCTTGGTTCCTTACAGGGCTGTCTTAGGGAGGACTGAGGTTCTCCCACTTCCAATTAACCATTCCTGGCTGAACCAGACTGTCTCTGACTTGAAGCCAGCCTTTTATTTGCAGATACGCTGCAAGCATGTTAAAAAGTGCCTCTTGTTTGTGAAGAACAACCACTCTCAGTGCCAATGGGCCTCTAAGGAAGCTCTTGGAGTCCTTCAAAATAGAAAATATGGTTTGACTCTGGCACCCGCTGTATGAACAAAAGTTATCTCAAACTGTTTCAGCCTTATGTCAGGTCAAGATTGCAGTGTCTCTGTGAGTTAATAGATGTTTTTCACTTACCGTTAAATTTTCTGGAAAGCTATTTGTGCT